GACTGATTATCTCATATATACTCGTCATTATCCTATACCAGCTATTGTCGGCCATTACATCACCACCTAAGGAGCTTTCTCAGCCTAATGATTCGAGAACAAACTACCCCTTCTCTTAGACATTTCAACCTGACTTCTCTGAGGCTATGAGAAATTTGACTTTTAAGTAAGCATTTCGTCACCCGATTTGGCTTGGCTCCTCTGTAGAATACTGCATTTGGCGCTAATCTACATCTTAATTTCGCATATAATCCCCATCTCCTCTTAATACTCCTCGTGTTGGCACTATCTGGCCTTCCTCCTTTTCATTTGGTTCAGCAAAAATGTAAAAAATCCAAATTAAGGCATCATTTTGGGGGCAAGTTTACAACTGATCTCCTTCTTTTCCATCATATGACCACCAATACGATAAACAAAGCCTCTGATTTGGAGTCTAGACTCTTAAACATAATCTGTTGGACAATTTAATCGAAATAGTTGCACTTAAAAAGCTCAAATTTCTCATACTGCTGGCCGCTTCTTAGACTATTTAGCACAATTCCTCTCCATCAGAATGTTCAGCCTCTTTAATCTCCTCGATTTCACTGAGTTTATCTTCTTCCTCGTCGGTTATGCTCTTCAGGCGTTCTCTGTACTCTGCCTCCGACCTCAAGATCTCAATTTCCTCAGTAGCTTGCAAGTCCTGCGACTCAATTTCGGGTCGTGCGATCGCGGTGGATGCCGGATCAAGCGAAACGATCGATCTCGCCAGGCCAACATCAGCCGGCTCTCCGTCCGTAGGCTCCATCTTGTCCTCTTGTACTCCCGTGACGACGGTTGCTGAGTGGAGGGTCGGCGATGCGTCTACCACTTCCTGTTCTGCTGTCTTGGCTGGTTGAGTGGGGCTACTAATTTGTGAATTTCCGTTTAGACGCCGACGGCGAATGCTGCTAAATAGCCAGTTGGCTTTGCTGGAGATATCGACACGACTGAGGAAGGGTCGCAACTCGGGCACCGCGTAGAAGTAGATCCAAGGTGTGGTGGCGGATGTGTTTAGCACCAAACTGCCCATTCGATAGGCCGGATGGAGCAGTTCACCGAGGCGAAGAGAGCTGAACAGTAGGATCATGCAGTAGGCGATATCGGCGACAGAGCTGGCCTGGACCATATGCATCGGTGGAAAAGGCGTGTGAAAAGGCGTCCATCAAAAGTCGGTAAACCTGTCAGTTCGTGTGTCAAGTGAAATGTGGAAGAAATTCGAAAATCGGCCACATAAGGATCCTAGGAAGGTTTGCTTTCTAGGCTTGACCGCTGACGTGGACGAAAGCATCCTCATAGCTAGGTCTGTACTAAGCTTACGACTGTCCCACCCCAACAGACAAAATCAGCGAGGAAAACAATTCACTGACCAAAAATCATCTAACACTTCATTTCACATATAAGTGATCTATTGGTAGTCTCGGAAACCTATCTATTAAGTAAGCATATGCAACGTATTGAGTAGGATTTTGAGACTATTAGTAAATCATATATATAAATTGTGTCCCCTCTATTTCGTTTAAGGTGATGAAGGACTGATAGTTGAATTTTCCCACAATTACATAAGTTTAGCAGACGTTCTCATTGAATTTCACACAGCCTTGCTTTCCCAAAAGTTTTCCTCATCCAGAGTGGACTGCAGTTTCGATCTCGTCTAGGTCTTATCAATACTTCCAATGGGAGTCAAACCATGACAGTGCAGCGTGTAATCTCGACACGCTAACTATAAGGCCACATTGCCACGAGTGTCCTTGGGTGACAGGACAGATGTGAAGTTCAAGGAAGGTCAGACATGGTTCGACTTATGATGTAGGTGTTGATAAGACATAGGCGAGGCCGAGACTTCAGTCCACTCTCGATGAGAGTACCTTTTAGTAAAGCAAGGCTATATAAAATTCAATGAAATTGTAAGGTCTGTTCATATCATTATGGAAGAAATTCAACTATCATACCCTTATCACTTTAAATGAAATATGGTAAGTACAATTCATATATAGATGATCTACTGGTAGTCTCGAAAACCTACTTATAAACGAAACTTTGTGATTTCATCTTTCGATCTTACTATGGGTTCCAGTCCCCCCCAAGTGATAAAAGACATTCTCGTCCAAAATTTTAGATTAAGCTTATCAACAAACCAAACGTGCCAAATTACTCAGCCCCAGTCATGCCTCTCCTTGGAGGGTTAAACGTTAATGACCCTAGACCGAGAGGTTAGGACAAGTGGTTTCGTAACTTGATTTTC